AGAAGGTTTGCCTTTCCTGCTATGCCGATTTTTTCTCACGCCGTGTTCGACGACCCAGTGATCGATCGATGAATCCGCTCTCGAGCTCGGATCGGCTCTTGATGTGTGCGCAATCGCGAGCAGAAATCGTGCGACATTCCCGATGAAGAAACTACTGAATGAAAGGAAACTAGCGGCGGTTCACACGAGACTGCGGCACGCACGCACCGCACGGAGGCACGCATGCACGCACGCACGCATGCACATACGCATGTATACACGCATGCTCGCGCCGAGCATTTACTTTAAAGTAAAGCGATTTCCTTATACACATTATGATCTCTCACCGTGCCGCTTGGCGAGCTATCTCCCGGATTATTCAACGCGCCGGTATCATTACCAGACACGCGAGCCGAAAAGAGCGCTGGTTGTCACTGGCGAGGAAAAATTGCCTCTGATCACGCCGACCGACAAGGATGAAGAAAAAAAAAAAGTCAAGAGATACCGGTTTCCAGTTTCCATATATATATTTTTTGTTTTGAAAGTGGGGTGATTAAAATGGCAGATATATATATATATATATATATCTTTTTTTTTTTTTTCGAAAGTTATCTCTGAGAAATCGTTATTCGAAAAAAAGCGGCCTAATGAAATTCAGCCAAACTCGATCGAGTGAATGCACGATCGGGAAGAAAATTGATCGAAAACGTATGAAAAGTATAAATTAAGATTAGACTAGAATTACTCTTAGATCAATCACTTGATTTTCAATTTTATTCATTGCACGGTAAAGGATTCGTCGTTAAAAACGGTCTACAAAAATTTTTCTATTACTTTAACAAGATGAATATATTAAAAAGTAATATGTTAACAAGGTGAAAGTATTAATTTAAAATATATTTGTGCATTTTTTTAACATATTCCCCGTATTAAAGTAATAAACATTTCAGTGGGCTGTTTCTAAAACAAAATTTTTACTATGTGAATACTGTCAGAGAAGTGTTTTGCAATTTCTCATAGCAAAGTTTTCAAGAAGTAATTCTCCGATGGAAATTTTCAAACAGGAATTTCAAGTAGCCAAGTGTTTTTAGCAAAATTTTTTAACTTTTTGTAATAAAGTATTTTTTTACTACAAATAACAAAGCACATCGTTTGGAAACTAACGTGATTGTACTCAACTTCTGTTGTTCTGATGTTTTAAATATATTAACGCACTAGCAAAATCGCAGTACGACAAAACTGCAGTAATCTTCGGCGTCGATTGCGCGTGACAAGCATCACACCGATCAGAGGAATTGCGACTTTCTAATTACGACTCGTACAATTAGCCGGACCAGTAATTTTCGCAGAACACGGTTACGATAATAATCGAATCCGTAGCAAGTTACAATCCGCCAGACGTGGCCCGGAAATGACGTTCGTCACTTTACCCGTCGCTTTCTACTTTCAAAGCGCACGAAAATGATATAAAAATGGCTCGCCGAATCTACGAGGTATCTTTAATTCTTCAAATATGACAGAGTAATTAAAAAATCAATAACAGATATTCATAATTTTATTTAAATATTCACAATATCTGAAGCGTACGAACAATAGTGTGAAATTGAAAAAAAAAATGTTTAATCATCAATATTTTCCCAACATTATTCTCAATAGCATTATTTTATTATTATTATTGTAACGAATGTTTAATATTGACGAGAATTATTTATTGGAAAAAAGCCGAATTAAATATATTTCGCTTAATTTAGTATTTGAGGGGAGGGGAGAAAAATACTTCTGTGATAAATCTCACTTTCGACTTGATATTGGAAGGATTAAGGGAGCCTACAGAGATTGTGCGATGGTGGTAGAACAACGTCGAGCGCGGAGCTCATTGAAGCTTCCCAGGAATTCGAAATTGATGGAGTTGAGATCGAGGTGCCGCTTCCTGGACAAGACTCCTCACTTTACCACTCGACAGGTCAGCTTGGTTGATAATGGGACTGATCCTCCCCCGAAGGAGAACGAAGTAGTGAAGCTGTCAGGGAAAAGGGATGACACTTCGGTCCGGACTCGCGTCAATGGCGTATCGCGAGTCCTTTGATCGCGCCGATAAACTGGTAAGAGATTTTCGGGTCGTTGTTTCTCCGGTAATCTGATTAGATCAAAGCATCCACGCCGTTCCCGAAGATTACTCAGGAATCATCCATTTTCCTGATTTTTTTCACAGCTTTCGCTTGTCTCGATACTTGCCCCAATAAATCGCTCACTCTGAGATATTTCTATCGTCTCATTGTGCGAGATAAAACATAATATTGCAGATCTTTTGGACTTTATTTTCTTCGCATCCACTATGGTTTAAGTTCATATTCAACCATTGACGAAAATATACAGATATCTGCGGATCATTGTTATAACTGTTGTCACTTGGACATACAGATAACTTTTTTTCTCCCCATATTATATAATATACATATATATCCGAAACGGTGTAATTGGTTTCTAATACATTATATATGATCACATTTGCACTAATCATTCTTGTGCTAACACACACACACACGCACACACGCGTAAATATATTAGTTCGAAAAACGGCCATTCATCGTCAGCGCTCGTAAAGTCAGTGACTTCGAAAACTTAAGAAAGAGAGAGGAAGAAGTAGAGGGGGGGAGAGGAGCGACACAGAGGGAACACGATAGAGTGTGATTTTCCTCTTCACTTTCTCTTTCTCTTTCTTGGGCCACTTTAAACGTCTTTATGAGTTTCGGCTGTTAACACGACCGCCGAAGCAGGTACAACCTTTCTTCAGTACCTGCTTTCCTCGTATCTGTCGGATCTCTCAGATAGCTAGCCGCTTATCCATGGAAGACTGGTGAAACAATGATCGGTCGAACAATATGGCACCAAAGAGGCCTCCGCTGTTCTCGGGCCGCAGTATCGCCGAGATTCGTGTCTCGCCTCACTTCGCTCGTCTTTCCGGCATCGCATCGGAGATACAGTGCAGATTAGTCTTCTTCCTTTTGGCAGATTAAGTCTTCTTTCTTCTCTTCCACGAGAAGATGTTTACATCGTCCCGGAACCGAGCTTTTAACTCCCCACGAGGCTCGATCCTTCCTACAAACTTACAGGGTTTAAAAATTCGAGCGTTTAAAAATTCAACCACACGAATCAAACCGGCCGAAGGAAATCCTTTGGTCGGAGGTAACAGAATGTCTGATTATAAGAATCAAATTTCGCTTGGAATCATAAGGCTTCTGGATACTCTATTCATTTGGCAACGACTTTCCTCGCTTCTGACGTCATCGAAGAAGGATGGCCACAGCGAGTATTCGGGAGCCGTGAGGACCAGAAATTCCGCTTCTTTCACTAAAACGCGTTTTACTCGTTCACTGTCCGGTAAGTTCGATTTTTTTCACCGTGTGAAAAAACATGCGACAGAAATATACGTGTAATTAAACGTTACTCTCTTTCTATATAGAGTATCGGAGGAAATCGTGAAACGTTACCGCCGCGCGCGCGCGGTGGTGGTGGAATAAATAATTAAATGTTGCGGCGCGCGGTAACGACCACCTCGCGACGCGATGTTCGCGCCCTTACGTTACCGAATCATTTCTGAGCCGGGGAGAGGAGACGAGACTGACAGGCGGCGATGGTTAAGGAGGGTTTAAGGGGGTTCCAGGACAATGCGAATCTGTAATTATAAGCGCGCCGGTCTTCTGCTTTCGCTCCTTTTTTTTTCGTGTAAAATCTCTTGCAGCCCGGTATTATCGCCTTAAATCAACAAAGCCGCTCCTCCGGTCCGCGCCGAAGGTAGTTCGGCGGAGGGTACGGCGAAGAATGGGGAGGAGAGGGAGGGTGAGAGAGGGCGAGCGGCGAAGGATGGTTAAGATCTGGAGGGGGGAGCAGGAGGGCGGCCTGTAGCTCCGGCAAGCCACGGAGGGACTTTAATAACAGGTCTCGCTTAATAACCCACGTCCCGTACGGCCCAAACTGAATGTCATTGCAGTAGATTCGATCACGTGACTCGGCACTGTCGGTACGGCAAAGAGGCGTAACGATCGATGCGCGGAGGACTCTCCGCGAGATAGCATAGAATCGGGGGAGATTCATCGACGATTTTTCAGTCGATCGATTTGACCAGGTCTCGTAAGACGAGTCAAGTCCTCTCTCGTTGTCGGTCAAACGGTGGGATGACGTTATTATAAGGTGTATGGGAAGCTTCTCTACTTGTCATCGGCACTTTTACCATAGCGGCATGTTTCTTCGATTATTATATCTCGCTCTTGAATTGTATGAAATTAAATTAATTGATTTTCCGACTGGAAGCGCGCCGGATGTTTTATTCCAGTGGTGCCATCTGAGTCCGTCTTCAGTAAACTTCTCATTTTCTAGTGTCGATAACTTACCGAGCCCGGATGCCTCCAGGTTAGTAAGTCGGCTTTCAAGAGTGACGGTAGTCAGTGAGACGGCTTTTAGAATATACTGAAATTAGTATGCGTGATCTTGAGTCGTTTCGTTGGCTCTGTATTATCTTAAGATGATATGTGCCTAGTAAGATGGTCCGATTTTCCTTACTGAAAAGCATCTATCGCTTAATTTTGCTTTTGCGCGGTTTTGAACATAGCCGGATATTTTTATATATGCTGTTAGCCAGAATTGGACAGTAACTTGCTAATTCAGTTAAAAGTTTAAAAGTTGGCAGCTTTTAATTAAGTTAAATTTAAATAAGTTAACTTTTAATTTGGACTTAGTTATTTTTTATACATTAACTTTAACTTATTTAATTTTTTTTCGGTTAGCTTAAAATATTTCGTATATAGCTTTGCATAATTAACTTTTGCGACATTAATTTTTAACTCTTAATTGAGTTAATATTTTATTTACGTAGCTTTTAACGTAAATTTTAATCGTAACGTAAAGTTAATTTAGTTAATTTATATCAACTTTTAACTTAGTTAAAAAAAGTAACTTACCCATTAGCAGTTGATCCAAATACCGACGCAGGTTATGTAAGTAAAAGTATTCCATATCACCATGCATTCCAATATCGATATATCGACAAGCATCGATGTCCATGTGTATCCACGAGCTCTACATCGAAGGTGCGCGAAGATCTGTAAATTTAATAAGAATCATCAAGAATTTACTTGGAAGCTGCAAGAATGTTGATGCGAGCATCCTCGATCCTTTGCCGACAAACATTGTTAAGAGCAAATGTGATACCTCAGGTAAAAGTGATGTTCTGCAACTTAGAGGTTAGACCTCAGGATTTGTTACTTCGCGGCGAAATCAATAAGCCGACAAAACAGCGTTATACGAGGAAAAAAACAACAATAACATATCCGAGACATAAATAATTCGCATAGAAATATACAAATATACATTTACTTACTTAACGTATTTTACTCCGTGATCTAAGATAAATTTTCTTAAATGCAAATTATTAGTTACAATTTTATGTTTAGTACAAATGTAAATTACAAGCTCAAAATTGATTCAACGAGAAATTATTCTATGTTGACTTAGGAGGTGTCTACATGTAGATACATCCATCTAGTCAGCCGAGTAAAAGGGATTCCCAAACGCAATTCTTTGCTGAATCTACAGGATAACTACAGAGTTACAGGAATCCCTTTGGTTCGCTATGCTAGCACTAACGAGACACTGCTGCAAACCGATCCATACAACGAAATACCAGGTGTTTAGACGTTTGTTATAAATTAATACTCCTTTTCTTCTAAATATATACATATATATTTTATCAATTATACCGAATATCCAGTTGCGATAAATTATACTTACAATTGTTCTCATTGTTTGATAAAATTTAATTATCACGCAGTTAATGCATGCGAAAAGATTAGAACATAAAAACTTTTTACTTCACCTTCCTATCTATTAATTCGCAACATAAATATATAGATCCTCCGATACCACCAATACAAGAAGTAGTGGAGAATATTGTAAAACTGCATCCAAATGGGGAGCAAACTCTCGAGAGTCTTGGATTAGGTGGTTGGACTCCAGTTGGAATTGTACAAAATCTCTTGGAATACATGCACATAGGCTTGGATATTCCATGGTGGTCAACAATCGTCATAGGTGTTCTTTTTTTCCATTAAGTTATAAGTTTCTAAAATTTAACTATACGAAGTTACATTAATCCAATAAAAGTTTCAATATAGTTTCTAATTTTAACTTTAATGCACTTATTAAGGTAACTTTAATGGCTTCAGGTACTGTTGTTCTAAGGACTCTCATATTCCCTTTGGTGATAATGTCGCAAAAGAATATGGCCAAATTTAGCAACCATATGCCAGTGATACAAGAACTACAAAAAAAAATGACGGAAGCTAGGCAGCTTGGTGATCATTTCGAAAGTATGCAAATGCAATTATATATTCACGCATAAATAATCGCGATGTCAAACACTACAGCGATAACGGATCTGCGATGACTGACAAAAAGAGTAATAATTAATTCTTATAAATAGGCGCGCGATGTGCACAAGATCTGATGAAGTACATGAAGGCGAATGATGTCAAGGCCGCAAAGAATTTCTTGGTGCCATTGGTTCAGGTGTGCAATGCTACGCGTGGAAAAAAAAAAAGAAACTGAAGAATAATTTCTCGATTAATTTTCTTTCAGATGCCAATCTTCGTTTCCTGCTTTATAGCCCTGAGAAAAATGGCAAATCTGCCTGTGGAGAGCTTAAAAACTGGCGGATTTTGGTGGGTGCAGGACCTCACTTTACACGATCCTTATTACATATTGCCGATAATTACAAGTGTGACAATGTATATCACAATCGAAATTGGCGCAGACGGCACTCATCTTAAATCATTGGGCTTAATGCGATACGTATTACGAATAGTACCCTTCGTTGCATTGCCATTCATGTTGCACTTTCCTGGTGTAAGTATAACATAATATCGAAATTGCTCTCATAGAAGTAAGAAAAATTAATCCGAGATTATTTGTCCGTGTCATGGGATACATTTCATCAAGTAGCAAATCATGAGCATTAGCGTAGGTTTTCATTTTGCGTGTTCCAGTGTGAGTATATTTTTCTATATTTATTTGTAGGCTATTTTGACGTATTGGATGTCGACAAACTTTGTTTCCCTGATACAAACCGGTATATTAAAGATACCAAAAGTAAGGAAGGTCCTCAACATGCCTACCGTAATACGACACGCTCCAAAACCCACGAGTGAAAAGAGTTTTGTAGAAGAATTCAAGAATTGTGAGTATACTATATTCTACGGTAAAAATGTGAATTGGTATGTTGGGACAAACGTAGTCAATGTAATTTTGCAACATGGGAACACGAATTGTCGAATATGCAGCTATAGGTGTTGATTTGACTTCAACTTTGTACGACATAGGAATAACAAACATTAAATAATCAATTACGTTTACGCAAGTGATTGGATGAGATTATAGGAAAAAAATTATATATGTATTCTTCGTATAAAATATAGAATATTAAATGTACATATTCTTATTTCAGCTTGGACAAATTTAAAAATAACGAAGCAGGTAGCTGATAGAGCACGAGCAGACGTAGTACAGTTTAATGCTGCCGGTAAAAACCCCATAGTGAAGACATTCAAATATGACCCAACAAATCAAAAACAATCGACTGTCCTTACGAAAAGTAGATAATCATTTCAATAAAAAATAAATGCGCGTGTTATATTTAAGTATTTGATTACTTAGTATGTGACACAATAAGTTAATTTGTAATTGTAGTTACAATAAATGGTATCTTATTTAAAGCACAGTCGCTTCGAGCAGCCATATTGGTCTTGTGACGCTATGGGCGAGAAATAACGTGCAATGAGTTTCTCGCAACATGTAGCTTTATTTTTTAGTTTTCCTTGAAAGATACAATGGTTCCGTAATAGTGAAACTTGTGAAATAGAAAACTGAGGTATCTAGCCGATATGTCACATAGAATCATAAAATAATTCTTGAAATAACGAGTCATTTTTCTGCCATCTCAACTATCACGGCCACTTTTAATATGGCTTTAATATGGTTTTATTTTCGTTCTGTCTTTCTACTGAAACGAGTGTTCCTCTTCCGGACTGAGTGATCTTTCGGCACTTTGCTGCGTAACGAAGACATTCTGCGTTGTCGTTGTGAGGCTTGTTTGCGTCACCGTTGTGTTAGTATGGCCGCTGGTAGGCATACATATTTTATGAGTTTCAGAATTACGAAACAATTATGATTTTTAGAGAGAATTAAAAAATAAAGCTATATGTTGCAAGAAACTTACTGCATATAATTTTTTGACGACCTATGATCACAAAACCAATATAGTTACTTGCAAGAACCGAACCGACCGTAAAGCTTCGGAGTAGTTGCGTTCTTTAATGACGTCAGAAGCGAGAAAACGCATATAATGATTTTTTGCGTTATATTTTCAAATAAAAAGTTGTATCCACAAAACGCCATTTGTGATCGATTCAGCACACTCATAAAATTGGATGAACAATTTCTTTTTTTCACTCGAACAATTAATAGTCGCAGAATTAACTTGATATAGAATCTTTTTTTCTAATCTCTTTTCTCATAATTTCGTCAACGCCAATTTTACGAGTATTTATCGATCGTTCGAGTAAAAGAAAAGTATTCGTTCAATTTTACTAGTGTGCTGAATCGATTACAGATATCATTTTATGAATATATCATATTATGAATGTATCTTTTCATTTGATGTGTAAAAAATCTTGGCATGCGTTTTCTCACTTCTGATGTCATTAAATATTATATTAAGGACTATTATAGCGACTGGAGCCTGAATATGCTCCTTTATATTTAACTTATTTATATTTACGTTATATATGTAAAAATTACAAGTACTAAGTAGATGTAGAAAAACATAACCCGGGAAAAATGTTTATATATATCAATTTTGTTTCTATATGGCTACATATACAACATATATAGGCATATACGGACAAAATTCATATAAAATCATTTCTTCCCGGGAATGTATTCATCTTCGTATAACATAACAAAAGAAAATCTTTAGTACTGATTAAATCAAGTGCATATATGAAAGATAATTTCGCTAAATTTGAAAAGTAAGAAGCGCAAAGGAGCATCTCTTTAAAAACTCGTTTGCTTCGTTTATATATATATATATATATATATATATATATTCTAATCTATGCTAAGAATGTATGAACTGTACAAGGAAAAGTATGTGGAAGTTTTATTTGCGGTTCTGTCTTTTTATTGAAACGAATGTTCTTCTTCCGGGCTGAGTGATCTTTCGGCACTTTGCTGCGTAACGAAGACATTCTGCGTTTTCGTGGTGAGGCTTGTTTGCGTCACCGTTGTGTTAGTATGGCCGCTGGTAGGCATACATACTACAACCAACTTTGGTGCAGAACTCGGTACGTGGGCCTTCTGTTGGCCGACATTAGTTTGCGCCAGTTTAACTTGTTGTTGCTGCTGCTGCTGCTGTTGCTGCGGCTGCTGTGTTTGCGATGGCTGCTGCTGCTGCTGAATCGTACCGGTACTTATGTTGGAAGCGGTGGGTGTCTGCGAGCGTGACTGCAGAATGACAAATTTCTGCCCACCAGCGGCGGAAGTTCCGCTGGTGCTTCTGCTAGCACCAAGCATGATCGTGCGGCCAGGTTGCTGTCCCGGACTTGAACTGGCCACTGAAACGCAAGAAGCACAAATGTTACGCCACTGAAGAATACCCGAAGTAAATCGAAACACTTGGCACATCTTTGTTATGTTAATTCGCTGATGTTAATCTTTGTACGTTTAAGTCGACATTTTGACCGAAATCGACCAGTTTTGTTCTCGGCGCAACTTATCGCTTGTAATATTTGCGTAACTTTCTCAATCTCGGCTGGCTCACCTGTTTGTACAATTGTCTTTCCTGTACAGTTCAAGCTTTGTTGCTGATTCGTGGTCAGCGCTGTAGTCGTCGCGGCGGTGGTTGCTAAAGCGGCCAGTTGCGTGCGAGCTTTCGCGACCGCTGCACACAATGCAGGACCTATGTAGCCGTAATCCTGTTTATAATCCTCCACGTAATCTGGCGGCGATCGTATCGTTTTCAAGACCGGAGCGACGGATTTCTAAGGAAATATTTGTAACTTTCTGTATATATATACGTCGTTAATAAATAAGTACATAACAAAATATGATCGACACTACGAGAATATATCAAATATTAAATTCAGTATTAATACATATAATAATAATAAATTAAGTCGTTAAGTTATTCAAGTGGAAGAATTTCATATAATAATATATGAAATTCTTCCACTTAAATAACAAGTCAAACGTCTTGATTTCTTACTATAAGCAAAGTTTTGATGTGTCCCGCTGCATTTTTATCCATGTTAGTTAACCCTTGGCCTTCGATGCATGATTCAATGCGATCAGAGACGGACTTAATTTTAGGGATAACCAAGGACTTGATCACTTCCGGTCCTAATTCACAGAGCCCTTCAATCGCTCCGTAAAGGGACGCCAACGGTATCTGCTAAGAAAAACTCACTCTTTAGTATCACAAAACGGATATATTTCAAGTCTGTTTCTCAAAAATTAGCATTTTTTATTATATTTTCCTATTCTCCATTCGAGTAACGCGATCTGTTACCTGATTGTTCTTCGCTAATGCCTGACTGAACATACGAGTGACCCTGGTCTGCACATTATTCGTAGAAGTGTTGAAATTTTTACATATCTGCGACATCAGTCGGGAAGCAAAGTCTCGTAACGCCCAGTGATTGTCCACTTCTGGCTTCATGCATAATTGCCGAGAAACTATGCAGGTAGCGACTGACGGTATTAACTCGTGAAGCTAGAAAGATTTCGAGCGAGATTGTTACATTAAAATGCGATAACATCGAAAGTATGAGGAAACGTTTAACCAACGTCGAGGTCTTACATATTTCTCCAAGTAAAGGCTCGGATTTTCAAGCAGAGCTTTGACCATACGCATGAGGTAGATAAGCAATGCGAGGTGATTTTGGACCACGTTAACTCGCACGCCCTCCGCAATGAAGGTGCACATGCGCGCTAACATCTCGTGCAGACCTGGGTCCGCTGAAAGAGACTGTAGAGCCTCGGCCCTGCGTGCTTCGTCCGAGCCGACACAGGCCTCTGTTATTTCTTTATAATACAGTTGTTGTTCCACACTAAGCTCGTGCGTCGCGAGCTGCTTTACGTGCACGGTCTCTACGTTCCGTAATTTCTGGCTCTTGCCACCACCGCCCGGTTTACCGACGCCGATATTCTGGTTCTTGGTGGAGAGCTTCGTAGTCGGATCGACGCTCTCGAGTTTTTGAACATCTATCAAGATTAAAACACAGTCATGGTAATCGAGAATCGAGCTCTCTTAAATTACACCGCCGCGCTCCTCGTATTTTGCACAAAAAATCTTTTCATTATAAAGAGAAACAAAATAAGACCTTTCGATACTGGAGGTGGATTTTCTGGTATAGTAGGTTGCACCCCATCAATGCACAGCCAATGGGCTCGCAATGTAGTTTCTAGAGGCAACTTTGGCCACGCTTGTCCACCAGTCGTAGATACAACTTCGTTTAGATCGATTTCCTTTTCTTCCACGAAATGTAATTCCCTACCGCCGCCTGATGCGAAACGGAATGGCGTGTGGTCTTTGGAAAAGAATCCATACGTTGGCTCAATATTTCTGACCTTTAGCGCATGATCAATGTCATGGGCAGTCATTCGTTTGCGTTTGCCATGTATCATGAACTTCGCTCCATCCTGTAATATTAACACACAACATATTATAGTTAGTCTTCAATTCTACGATAAAAGAAAATATCACTGTTTACAAAGTATACAGAATAGTTTGGGAAACTAACCTGAATGATTTCCTTCAGCCTATAGCTGACATCTTCCGCAAGTTCCTTCGCAGCCTCATCCGGAAAGTTGCCAACGCCAATACTTTCCGCTATGACTTTGATAGATTCTTGAGACAACGTTGTCCCATACATAGACTCATTTTCACTCATTTTGAAAATATTCCAGATATCACATTCCACGGAACTGTCAAACTCCCATTTTATGAATTGGTAACACAGTTCCAACGGGTTCCGCAGTTTTCCATAGACAACTGTGTAACCTGCAATTGTCTATAGATATATATTAGATATATCTATAGATATATATTATAGCGGTACTAGATATATCTATAGATATATATTACAACGATATTACAATGTCATTGCGTTATTTGATACCGAGGAGAAATTAATAGTGCAATAATATAAAGCAAAACGTTACTCCTAGTAACTCAAATAAGTGAGAAATGTATGATACTTACATGCAATTTTAATAAATATTATAATTTAATGTATCAGATATATTCAATATTCAATGTGTCGATACACATTTATTAACACTTTACCTGCCAGTGCTGTCGGCAAAAAGCCTATTAACAGACTTCCGGCTGATAAAGTTTTAAAATAATTTGATTTAGAAAACTATACCAAACTATCCTGTTTATCCAGTCAATAAGGGACCATTCTACACGGATTGTATCTGCAAACATAAGATGTAAACATAAGATGTATACTTAAGTACTAACGAATAAATATTGTTTCAAGTTGAGTGACCAAGAGGAAGGCAGGAACGAAAGTAAATTCAACTGTGAGCGAATATAATTGGCATTTCAACCGATTGAGTCTAAATCCCGTAAAATATATGCACATGCAGAATGTTTCTTTTGTACATAGTGATTACATTCAGCGAAAGTCATCGTTTAATGATTACTACACTTGTGACTGCTATATTCTTCTGAGTGTATATTAAGAACCTTAAAATATAACTTGATCATTAAATACTACGCTGATTCCTGATCTCAACGGTTAGAGATCGTATTGTAACGTTGTTATAAAGTATCTCAAAGTTGTACCTCAACGGTTATAGAGATCGTATTGTGACGTTGTTAAATTGTCCTTCACTGTTATTATTCTTTAAACAATTAATTCGATCCATCACGAGTGTGACTGTAATTTACAAACAATTTGTACAGTTTATATATATACAACGCTGGAATTACAGGTTAGAAGCCGCTCTTCACGTGCACGCAGGTTCCACAGAACACTAGCGATTGTTCCGGCATCGTGGCTTCGCACGATTTGATCCGAGGGTTATACTGCACGATGTCGGTGGTTCTGGATAAGCAATCTGAGCATCCTTTTCCGCGCATGCGCGCCGAAAAGTCACAAACTAGCTGTAAAGGCCCTTGCGCAGTACACATTTATACACGACAGGTTGGAAATCTACCATCTGCATTATTCTCTGTTCCTATTGCCTGGTACTGTGTAAGGATCTTTATACATTAGAGGTAAATGGCTCCCGCTCACAGGCGGTAGCCAATAAACTTCTTGCCGAGGAACGGCGTGTTGATTGGCTACCGCGCGAACTTCCGCCGCGCGGCAAGTGTTGCAGAAGCGATAAAAATAGACCGAGCATATAGACCGAGGAAGCGCGGCTGACCGGAAGAAAAGTAAAGGAGACCTCCGGTAGGTGGCACCGCAGACCCAGGCAAAAGCGAGGCGCGATTGGCCGCGGCCGACAGCGAATCAGGAAGCGTCGCGAAAGGTAGATAACGTTTGAAATTGAAGAAGCAGCAAGGGAGGCAGTTGCGAGCAGACGCTGGAGGTGAGGAGACGTTGAGCGAGGGAAGCCGAGAACTGCGCAGAGAGGAAAGAGACGAAGGATTTTCAAGGAGCTGCCGCACGAGGGATAAGCCTGTGAGGACGACCCGGTGTCAGCCCAGAAGAGGAGGCCTGGCAGATGTGGGGAAACGACCGGTCGCTCGTGCGACGGTAAGTAGTATTTAACTTTGCCACAGTTTTCCCCCGTAATTTTCTTTCGTCCGAGACCCTTCGTCGGGAAAACAAAGCTCGTCCGGTGTGTAAATTAATCGGACGGATCGCGACGTGAGTGGTCGGAATCAAAAAACCTCATTCAGAAGGAAATCAGCCCGTCGTCGGCGGGATCAGAGGGCAACCCGGTACGATAAACGACGCATACTGCGCCGTCTCGCCGTGCGTGTCCGATCGTGTTTCGACTTAGTTACGACGAGAGTCCTGCGTTGCGATATTTTTCATAGACGTACCGGTTCGCGGAAATAATTCCGTTTTCCATGTATGTTTTTTTCCACGAGTTGGATTCGTATAGTATTCGTTCAGGATTTTACCTCATTATTGTTAGTCGCGTTTTATTATAAATATTACTTGTGTATATATATATATATATATATATATATATATATATATATATATATATATATATACACAGTCATTTCGTAGTTTCTAAGCGCGTTAATCCTTTCATAATATTCGTTTGTTTTGCGTTATTCCCTAGAGTAATCCATATTTTATTTGTTGATCTCATTATCATTTGTCGCGCTGGTGTCTTTTATTTTTAATAGAGTTTAGTCATTCGCGTTCTAAGAATACGCGCTTCATTTCTCGTGCCTCCCCTTTTTCGTACTGTGTGTCTGAGGCGGGCGTCCTGCGACTCGAGCATCTCTTCGGAGACGACAGCGCTGCCGGGGAGGGAAATCCCTCCGCGCACCAACCACTATACGGCATATCTGGAGAGACTTGGCCGGTCCAGCTTCCTAGGCCGAGAGTTTGGGCAGGACTCTAAAAACGCCCTGGCGACCGTGTATGGGCAGTGGGATCCTTGGAGAAGATAATTTCTACATGTTCGGCGCGGCCTGGACGGTTTAACGTCGATTTATCTACTTATGTGGTGACACCCGGTCACAGCATGTCCTCCGTGTCTCTTTTCCCACTCAACGCAATCGTTAACTCGCATTGGTGTCACCTGACATGCCCTGGATCGTTTTCTAGGGTTTTCTTAGGTTACTTAATATGGCACCCTAAAATCTAGGGAATATACAACGAACTTGAGAAAAGGTAAGCTTGAGGCAGTACCTGGTGTGTTTGAAAAGACATTATCATTAACGAAAGATATTAGATATTGAACATGTACAAAATTAAGCCTAATTAAGATTTGATATTTACCTTGTTTTACAGCAAATCATTTGATCTTCATCTTTATATCATTTGATATTTACCTTGTTTTATAGTAAAGATAATATTAAAACGTACGCCTTACATCTTATAAATTATCTTTGCGACAGATTAGATCGTTTGCTTTAAGATATCGTGACGCTCTCTCCGTAAATAAAAATAATTCCGGTGCACGAATATCCAGGTGTAATGCGTAGGAATGAAACTTTCTAATGACTCTGCACCTAGTAAGCAGCCAGGTGTTATTTATACATTTAGTGTATGCAGTTATAAGTCTTGTACCTTAAACACGTTACGCAGAAAGGACAAAATTTTCCTTTTATATAAACATATACATATATTTCCATTTTCTAAAAATAGTCTCAAGTATTTGGATTACACGTGAAACGGGAGTAACATGCATTGTGGAATAGTCAACATATAAACAGATTTACAAATATCATATAAAAACGAACTCTAAAGCGAAGAGGATTTTTTCCACCGGTCTGCGAGTATGAAATTTGAAAGACGTAATTGTTAGGAATTATTATCATTCGCGCAATTCAAAGGCACGTTATATTTTACATTAGGTACAAAATATTACAGCTAGACTTTTACGAGTAAGAATTTCATAAATGCAAATAGATCGTCTTTTTATCGTTGTATCAATAATTTTCAGACATTCGAAACCGATTGATGTGTCGTGCTAATGCGATCGTTACGATTGTTGCGACTGTTGATGCTTTTGCTGCTGCCTGGTCTCACCGAGTTTCACCAGGCCCAAGAAACTCTTTTCGCGGTGAAAGAGTGCGTATTTCGCTGCTCCGACCTCTTTCAAGACTAGACGATCACCTGCTTGGAGATAGGTCACTTGAGCTGAGAAACACGAGCGGCTTTTGTGCCCCGCACCTGGGGTGTGCACCTGAAAATTATACGTATTATTTCACGTTATTAACGATACCCTTACATTTTAATTAACTATATACATAAAATTGCTATATCGTCGACATCTCGTTAAGTTTACGGGCGATATTCATAGGTCCGATCTCGACATTTGAGAGATTATCTTGAGCACACGTGCTCAGGCAATCTTCAAATGTCATCCGTTGTGTATAAAAGGCTTCAGTCTTTATCTCATTGATAAAACGGTGACGGTCGAAAGTGACATAATTGGAATAGTCTCAGGATCAACCGTTTGCGTAACTTAGTGTTGCTCTTAATTTCATTATTACTAAACAACGGACGTTATGTACGCACACTCAAGTGCAATAAATAATACGGGGCGCGCACGGGGAGTATAATTTAAATATAATAAAAGTGCAAGTGACATTCGCGGTGCGGGTCGTAGCTCAAGTATGACGAACGTATAAATCTCACTTGTGCTGCGCAGGAACGTATTATTTAGAATAACATTATTTGAAACGACATGTGTTACCTCGCACTTATATTGTCGAGTGGGAAATTAAAGCGTGATTGACGTAATGTTACAAACTGCTCGACGTTTGCCGGGGGGGTTTTTTTTTTTTCATCTTCCGCAGAAGCACCTCGATCAGCCTTGACCGGCGCCTCTTCCCTTTCGCTCCTCCAGTTCTTACCATGCATTGCAGGATGGGCTCGCCGTTCACCAGCAGATGGAAGCCGTTATCATCGTGCTCGTCCACGTAGTGGATCTGCGCGTACGCCAGATACAGTCCCGCCTCGTGCACGGTGATCTCGCCGTCGCTGGCGAGCGTGAAGTAGCGATTCATGCCGAGTTCGGCGACCCAGTCGCTCGGCCGCCAGGACTTGAAGATACCCCTGTGGTGGCGCATCTTGCCATTGTCGTCCCTCTCGTCCACCGCCGAGAAGAGATTGAAGTCCGCCTCGTAATGGATCGCATAAACCTGCCGTGGCGCGCGCAAGTGCCTCCGGGCCAGCTTTCGAGGCGGCTCGGTCGCGACCACCTCGTAATTCTGACAATTCAATTCTGATAATGCTCCGGCGTCCGTGAGCGCACCGTGAGGCTCCCGATCGCACGCTCGATCGCGACTATCGCACCTCCTACTCACCTGAGCGGGCCCGTGAATCTCGCTTCCCGTTCCGTCACGAGCGGCACCGCGACGCACGCTTCGCCAGTTGACACTTCGGCCGCCCACGCTCTCCCTTCTTTCCCCGCTGTGCTGATTGGCCCGTGCAATTTCCTCGCTTAATTGGTCATCGTCCGCTGCAGAAGACGCGTCCAGACGCGCGTGGGCGTGATACTTCTTCGGGGGATGCACGTCCCAAGAAACGGCCGATCTGGATCGTAACGAGTGTGTCGTTTCAAAAGCTCCATCATCTTCGTAACACACCACGCACGTTCACCAGGTAGCTACTCACGATGTTAAATTCGCCCCGGAATCGTCGCTCGTCATCTCGTTGCTCGCGTGAGGATGCATTTTGGACGCACCGGTTCTCCTAGCATGATGTCGGTCGTTGAGCTCGTAATTAGACGTATCCGTTGAATTATCAGTAGTAATTCCGTAACCGCTCGCGGAACGCTTCCGCTTGATACTTTCGTCCTGCTTTCGTGAAGCTGACTTCGAGTGTCCTGCACTCGAGGTATCCCCCGGCAGGATGTCGCGTTTGTGTTTCGTGCTGTTCCCGTCGCCGCTCCTCTCCTCGTGGCTCACTCGCGCTCGGTGCTCCTCCTTGAGACGTTTCCGCTCGATGTTTCTACACGAAACGCATACAATAATATAAATTAACATATCAACTCATACAAAATATTTATTTATAAAAAAAATATATATATATATATAAATCTGTGGATCTTTTTGTGAACTCGTTGAAAAATATAGACTTGTGCTTTCAATGTCTCATCCTCGAGTTATTTGATCAAAGAAGAATACATTGTTAGGGCCTTACTTGTGATTCTCTCGCACATACTTCTCCAATTTCTGTCCACGCTCCGCTGCGGCTTTGTTCATGAGCTCCACTAATTGCAGCAGAGGGTCGGGGTGGGGTTTCGTGGACGTAGGTATCGGCGTGGACGTAGTCTCGGGGAAGTCCGATGGTCTGGATCCGTAAGTCAGAGGGACACGCTGGTTTCCGGGTAGTTCGCCGGAATAGTCATGCGATGCGGAACTATCGTCATCGTAATTGGAGTCGTAATCCGCATAATCAATGTCCGCCTCGCCCGGATCATCATCTTCGGCCGGTTTTTCGTCGTACAGCTGCAATGCGTGTTTATGATGATACTAACGAGTTACATATTACCGTGTAACTCCGTATTCAAATTCGGAAACCAAAGACAACGATGTATGATATTTTGGCGAGACGATTTGATCGAGAGGAGAAACGGTAAATTTATGAAATATAAGTCGTATCCTTTTGTATCCTACTTGAAAATGCACTTATCGGTGTTACAACACAGACGCATTCTTGTGACGATGAAACATGCGGGACATGGAACATGCCTCTCGATGTGTGAGAATTCGGGAAATCAAATTATGCGGAGCGATTAGTATATAATGGAAATTTCCCATCGCGCACGGTAAAAAAAGAAACATTTTATACTCGTGTTAAAATCGTTAAAAATTTCGCGTTAAAGTTTTAACGCACCCGCATGCTCGAGGAAACGATACTTTCCATGAAAATTTGCGTGCACCGTCCGTGTGAAATGGTGTTAAATTTAACATAGAGTTTTTTTTTACCGTGTACGAACTCGCAAGAGTCGGATCGGAAATATCCATTAGCGGCGAACGTCCGATACGAGGGAACCGCATTCGTAATAAGCGATTGTCAGTATGATTTCCTTTCGAACGTCAGATGAAGTAATTACCGATTCTAAAAGCGGCGCAATGTTCTACGTAGCGGGGAATCCCGTTGGGGATCGACGTTCTGCTATTGACAGAAAACGCGCTCCGTAGCTACACTTTATCGAAGGCACGGAAAGTCACGTTCGAGGCGAAGCTCAAATATTACTTGATACATCTGAACATTTTGACATTGTTCATAGTTAGTCGATTCCGTCGTTCTTGATTTGGAATTGCGAATTTCATCATTCGTCCGATGCCGTTTGATTTTCTTCAGAAATATAAGGTTATCGTAGAGAGGTCGAATTGAAACATCGACGATAAGGCAAGCGTGTGTCTGATATATAAGGATCTATGTGGACGGTTCAACGACCTGCTTATAACTTAGATTAATTTAGATTAGCTTTCAACTTGCTTATATTTTCCCCGGCAAAATTGACGAGCGGGGGAAGGGGGAGGGAGAGGGGGAGGTAGATGATTGCTAAGCTCGTTGCTTAATTAACCAGAAGTTGCCCCGTGCAGTGACACCGAGTATATTGCGTGTACTTTTATTTTTCTATTAGGCGGTGTTATTCTTTTTCAATTGTTCTTGATATTAATCGTAAAATCACCGGATTTCCGAGGGAAATAATAAAAATCAATGGGGGAGCTCACGGAAGTTCGTGGGGATTCGTCTGAAGAAAATGATAATGAGACGCACACGAGACGAACGCCGGTCGTCGTTTCCATAACACACGCGCCTTTTCTTTCTATCTACGCCCCGATATAAACAAAATCTCCCTGCCATTCCGTTATTCACGTCCGCAAGATAACTGACCCGCCTTAGTGCGCCTCAAGTCGTCCTATTAAGATGGTAACAATCGCGCTTGTGCTATTAATATTAACCGTTAATATTTCCATCAGGTACGACTATTATCATATTTATAACTAATTTAGTTCAGATGCATTAACACAAGATACACTGTCTGTTCGCCGAAAGAGAAAAGACTGAAAAAAAAAGTGAAAGGGAAACCGAGATTTGTTATCGGTAGGCTTATCAGTAGAAAGCGCTCGTGACATCAAGTGCTACTTATGTGTTAATTGCTAATTATCAAGTCGGTAACAGGGGGGCGGGGTAACTTATAAAGAACGTAAATAACACATCGTTACTTATAATCAATCAACAAGCGATAAATATTTGAAGCGGCTGATCTACAACGAAAAGGAGGAGGAATTTGCGCGGGGAAGTTTAAGTCACTTTTTCCGATTTAATCATGCGACGAAGTCGCAGAATCAAAGGTGCTAATGGCAACGTACTTACCTGTTCCTCGAACGCCTTCAGATCGCTTATAAGATTCTGCTTGAGGAACCGGTGCTTTAGTTCCTCGACGTCTCTCTTGAGCTGTTCGATTTCGTGGGTATTCGCCGTCAAACAGCGCAGCTTCCAACTTTCGATGGTGAAGCAAAGGAGGGCGATCACAAGAGCGGCCATGCTCAGAATCGTGTTCCTGCACGGCTTTAGTCGCGATTTGTTGAATCCTTGCTCCAAATCGGAGTGCGAGATGCTCAAGTTTTCACGGGAGAAGCTCAAAAAAGACCTCGCCTCTTCTTTCATAGATCTGTCGTTCAGCAATTCTTGCTTCATTTTCGCCGCGTCGCTGTTCTCTTCCAGCAACATCGACGTCATCTCGAAAGTCGATTCGGCAAGATCGTTGTTTCGTCTGCGTATAAGTGAGTTTGATGTGAGGACACCTACACGTTTGTGCGCGTCTTCATCGGTACGTGAATAATGTAGTTCATGTCGTACCTGTTACGACCAAAGCTCAAAGTGCAAAGGAAATTTGTTTCAATTGAAGAAATTTTGTTAAATCCAAAGAAATCTTTTTCCCTGCGTGAAATGAAATTTTTTCATCTCTTATTATAAATGGTTAATGCGCTTATAGTTTGCAATACGGCCGGTCAGGATGCGCGAAATTATTATTCTTCTCATTAAAGCTTCGCGATGCGGCGGGCAAAATAGATCGAAATATGAAGAACTGAGCTAACTTTGCGAAATCTCGGACTTCGGCCGTGACTTATCAAGTTGACTATACTGTAAGAAATCACTTTGACACAGGAAATGGCGAGGTTACAGTTGATGCTTTCGATGCTTCTGATAAACTTGTCGATGTTGCTGCTGTCAAATCGTTTCTTTGCCAAACGCAACGATCAGCACATTCATTGGAACATTTATGCTTTCTTTTTTCCGGACAAAATTATATATAACATCACCAACGTAGGCGACAATCTAAAGTTCGATCCAAATAATGTTCTGATAATCGAAATATCGTTATTGCCAGATAAAATTGCATTGAGAAATCTATTCACTCCGTCGTTCCATTATAAGAAGTTCCAACACATGTATTTATACGTGTAAACACACTTTAATCATTGCGTGGTATGCAAACCGTATTTCAACCTATTGAACTCGCTAAGACGCGCGTTTTTCTTTTTCGAATCAGATAACATCATTGCGCTGCGGTGTAACACCACGCGGAAGATAGCGTTCCAGCGAGATAATTAGTGTGAAAATTATTCCAAGAGAAGAACACCAAGAGTAATCTAATAAAAAAATTGCCAGCATTCGCGAAACAGACGCAGTTCAGCTGATTGTACATTTTCAAGGATTTACGATGTACGGGGACGTTAAATATCCTGCACCGGTCTCGTCCCGCTTTAAAACCTGTCCGGCGAGTTCTTTTTTCGCCCCTAAAGGCAGCTAACTGCAAGGAGACTCTCCCTATTATCCCCCTCTTTTGTCTTGAGCCCTGTCATTTTTCCGCACTTCGGCGCTGCGAAAAATGCGAGTACAAAAAGTAAATACATTATCTTAAAATAAAAGTTGAAAAAAAATTTCACGTTGGAATGTTGACGCAGCCCAGAAAAAAGTTTTCCAGAAATATTAAAAGAAATCCGACGAAGTATGACATTATAGAGGTTCAAATAAAATTTTAATATAACGAGAAGTTTGCCTTACCTGATTTAATCTGACCTAATTCAATGCTTACTTCTCTCTATCGGCAATATGCAATTTTATCGAATCATTAGCTTCATTTAAGGAAACTGTCTCAAATGACTAAGAGATCTGTACAGTTATTAACCCTGATCTTCAGAATAAACGAGCACACGATGCATCACTTTTTTTCAACAATCAATGTAGAAATGTTCAAAATTTATTTCACAATTAATTTTGTTGAATAATATTTCAGCTTGCTTTTTTATTATTAATTTTTCATTAAAATCTATTTCATTTAATCATCTGGTCGATCTTGCCAAGAAATTTTGAAAGAAACGAATTTCGTGTGAATATTTTAACATTCGCTTCATAATTTGGCGTTTACGATTTTTACATAGTTTTTTTATATCATGCTCACATATATTATTTTATTAATTTAAATTACACTTCTCGATCCACATCTAATACTTAACGCTGCTTACTTCACAAATAAACAATGTCACATTTGTAAAATTCACTTCCTATATATTTTGATATGCGATACGATCGATACGACACGATAAAACACACTTTAACATTAGTGAAGGTAATTTATCTCATAAATATCTTCGGTAGCTTCGACAGTTTCGATTTTTGCCACTCGTTATTAATGTTTCACGTCGCATATTGAATATAAATACACGCTCGGCAAATAAAAAGCTGCTCCTATGGTGTAAGTTGCATTTACGGAGCATTTACAGAGCTTCAAGAAACGCGATTTTGCTTTAACTGACAATGCACATCCGTCGCCTTCGAGCGGCACGAGTACACTGAAGAACAGAACGAAACACGTCCACGTTTATCATAGCAGCGCCTTCAGCTCTTGTCGGACGGTACGATATTACACGCTGTAGTACTACGGTGTTAAACTAAATTGGACTTTAGGTGGGAAATTATGACAGTACTTGGGAAACTACAGGAAAATCAGCTACTGTGAAAATCAATAACAGATAGCGGATGGATATTATAAAATACAGGACGCAGATATTACAGCATATAATTTAATGTTGCCAATGTCGTATAAATTTTAGAAAATTTTGATCCCTGAAATGGAATTTAAACCCTCTTTAGAGTGCATATTATAAGAAAATACAAAATATGCATAAAAAGAGTGTGCTGTCGGATTACATAAAACGCTTATTGGTGTCGTATTCATAAAAGCTCATTGAATAAAAAGACACAATGGTTCAGAAGTGAAAATGTCCGTTACCTTTAATGTAACAAATTGATCTTAGATAAGAGTGTGTATGAAAAAAAGAACAGAAAAATCCTTGTCTTACTAAGCAAACGCAATCATTTCGATCCAGTCTCGGTAGAGAATAAAATATATACATAAGGCCAAGTACGTAGCCTTGTAAGCTTAGCGAACGAGTAATCGTAGGTATGCGATATATTTAAACTTATATACTGCTTATATCACGAAACATCCACAATAAGCAAAAAGTAAATAAACCTAAAGAAGATGAAGATCTAAACATGAGAAAGTCTCATCGCGCAATAATTGGGGAATATTCTTCACTTGAAAAAATATCTATAGTGTCTTTCCGTAAATTAAGGCTGTTTTTCTAGCGTATTGTAAAAAAAAATTTCTCGGATACTCGTATCTTTTAATATGTGATATATTCATTGTTTTAAACTGGAATAGGTTTTGAAAGTACCGCGTCAATTTCCAAGCATCCGAGATACAAACTGTAAAATAGATATTTATTAGAGCAATTTCTTTATTGCTAACAAAGTTACACCATAGAGGGGAAAGGAAATAAATGTACTGATTATACGATACACACGCGCGTGCATCCACACACGCATATATTCCCATCCTCTTCTCCGCTCTGCTCTTCCTATCCCTTCTCTATACACGATGACATCATGATAGTCGGCGATAAAGTTTCACGACGAAGAATCTTTTCCTGGAACGTACTTGGCCGTTTGTGTATGCTGTACATATACTGCTGAGAAATTAAATAATTCAATCGTGACATCACGCCCAGATGCCCAGGCTTAAGGTTGGATCGTGGCTTATTGAGATAAATTGAAACGATTAAATAAATGCCCTTTAAAGTTAATATTAATCATACTAAACGTACGTCCTATTATTATTGATGTTATCCAGTTTATGTCATTCTGTCGCATTTATATCGATATGATTTGTTTTATGTGTTAATCGCGAATCTTATTAATAATGACTACCGCTGATAAACTAATGTAGTTAAACAATGTGGCATTAGACGTATTGCCGGGAAACGTTAATTAAATGCATCGCGTTTGTGGCAAGTCTAAGTGATATCTGGCTGGAAATCCCGTGACTAATCGGGAGTCATCTAATTAATGTGTGGCAAGTAATAATGAAAGTTAATTATATCTAATTGTCGTTATTGTTCACACTATCTTTTCTTTCAAATAAATGGCATTTTTCGTCTTGCCTGTAAGCTATAGTTTATTATCTTGCAACTAACAAAAAAGAAGCTTCAACTTTTGCTTCAACAGTACACGTGGTTAAGGAGAGAAGACATTCTAAGGAGAAAAAGGAGGAAATGAACATATAAAAGAGTTATATGAACTGATTGAAATAACGAAATTTCTCTTCTTCCTATCTCTTTGACCCAGTTCATTACATGCGCTCGACTAACGCGTGAGATATCTCATTACTTGGTCTGAGCAGACCATCGCATGATGACTAATTACTATTGCGATTTTAGAATTTTCTTTTAACGTGACGTTAATAAAGGAATTTATGTGACCGCTTGAAACCTCAAGTGAAGAAAGCACGATAAATTGTCTTTGTGCAGAAGTTACGGTCGGGATCACCGCAAGTGAAATATTGATGTTTCACTTCTATGAAATTAAATTCGAGTTTAAATCAATTCAATCATCATATCTGACATTATTATTAGTAGATTATTTTTCATTTGATGTAAGAAAAATAATAACGTTTCATATTAATGTTATTTACTCATTGAAAAGTCAGAGATGTGCGACACTGTCGAATTATATTTTGCTAATTTTGAAGGAAAGATGTAAGCGTTTGTGGGAACTGTACGGTCTGGACGATCCAGGTCATTTTCACACAGAAGGATCGCTGGCCTTGAGAACGAGTTTTGAATACGGGATTTGAAACCATTATCTCTCTTTCCTTGGCCACAAACTTGTAATTATATGTATATAATTGTATATATATATATATTTTTTTTTTTTATATTTAATATTTTGTAAATACTACGAAAATATTCTCGGATAACGCAACCTTCTCAAGTGTAAAAATGTCGTAAAAGTATTGGAGAATAAAAGTTGTTTTTACGATTAATACAATATTGAATATCGCTGCAATAATGTTCTACAAATAATGTGTGCTCGCTGAAATACATGTATTATTGCTTCAACGGCTTCAGCCTTGCAGTTAGCAGGCATTGGTAACAATCTGTAGTGCATTGGTTGCCACAACGTGGCGTTGCTATCGCAGTGACCAGCAATGGAAGAGAAGTAAACAAAAGATCCGTTGAGTTTCATTCAGTCGGATATGCCTGGAGTGAAACGGTAATCCTATTGCTCTCCCAGAACGTGTCGTGTGGCTTTTCCACGGATAAAGTTAGGAAACGTCGCACAGGTAGGCAGATACCATTTACGGATCGTATTGTTTCAATCATTAAATCTCTTGCGAAATTGAACAAAATTACGCGAAGTTTCAAATTTTTTAACTATTGATATCTTTGGAATTTATTGTTAAATAAAAAAACTTTCAAAGAAACCGTTTTCTTTCGAAATTTAATTTTTCAAGAAGGAAAAGAGATTTTAATAAAACAGTTAATAAAATAAATTAAAGAAATAATTATCTTCACAATTTATCAAATCCATAGCATTCTTTTTTTTTAAATAAACGTCTCTAACATATCGTTTCAGTTAAATATTAATGTTCACTTAAAAAATCTAGATTGTCAATCATTCAACAGCTCTTTGTTATTGGTTTCTTTTTCATTGTTACATGGTATTATTACGTGGTATGATTAAAAGAATCTAAAACGGTTTAAATTCAGAAACGGAAATTATTCTGATACACGTGCCACGAGTACAAGATATATTTTTTTCTCAATTTAAATATTTTTATATTTTAAATATAGGAAGAAAGAACGTAGCGGAAATCGATGTGTACTACTTTGCGATACATTATTTAAGACTGTTCATTCAACACAATCTTAAACTTTTATTTGACACCGACTTATCTAGCTACTAATCTTGTCCTATCTTTTGCCAGACCTTACCTAACCTAACTTTTTCGAACCCAACCTAATCTAATCTAACATAATATAGCAAAGTATTGAACAAATAGAACATATTCGTGGAGTCTGTTGGAAACTGCCGTGGAGTGCGATTCGAAGTTAATTAGACATTTTTTTAGTTTTGATAGCGTGAAAGATACCGTCATTATTTTAAGATTTTTTGTATTTCGAATTAAAAGAAAGAATATAACGAGTGTAACTAGAGATGTAAGTCTTATACGAAAAGAACAAAATTGCTCAGTAGACGATTAAAAGTCTCTGAGCGAATACAATTCGAACAATCTCTCTATTAATTAACAAACAATATACTAAACGACCGAATTAATCTTTCCAGGAAGAAACGCTACCATCTAACTTAGATTAGCCTTAATTTTCTGGATTTTCTTTCTGCATTTGGATTTCGAAAAAGCGTAAAGAAAGACGTTCCGACATCCCAAAAGTTAAAGAAAAAAATATGCCTTTGTGATGTTTGATTACAAACTACAGACACAATCGTTTCCGCACATAAGATCTCCCACTGTAGTGGGAAAAGTTAGTTTACAAGCAACAAATGAGACCCATTTCATCAGAAGACATGAATGTGTATTTATATTTAACTCGAGTTGATTAAATTTTTCCTCTCTAGTAAAAATGTATATGCATTTGAGTAGCACTATAATAATATAATTACAACCATTTCTTACGATTGCAGTTGTTTTTAAATAAAAACCGCTCGTCCTCTATCCTCCCTTCCCCTTCATCTCTCTCTCTCTCTCTCTCTCTCTCTCTCTCTCTCTCTCTCTCTCTGTATAAAGAAAAAGTCAGCATTAGAAATGATTAATAACATTGTAAAATTCAGTGTTACTAATTTTTACTTTGTACGTATTCTAAAAATAAAATAGGAAAATAGGAAATAAAAAGGATGAAATGTATTTCAATCGAAGCATACGAATCGTTAATTCAAAGTTACACAGGTTATACAAGTTGCATAGATTATCGATATTCTTCTTACGCAACATGAAACATCTCAAGAATACATTAGAAGTTTTCCGTAAATATTTTTTATTGGTTATTGTATAATGACGAATACTAAAGATTATAGCAATATAGATAGAATTTCTTGTATGAGTAACAATGAATATCAATGATAAAATAATTATAAATATACTATCTGTATAACATGTTTATTTCTATTGCAATTTATTTGTTCATATTGCTTTAAATAGAGCAAATATAATCTCGTCTTAAAGTTGATTTATTGTGTGATTTGTGATAAGGTTATCTGTTTGCTGATTTATGGCTTAAAGTCAATTGAAATATCACTAAAATATTGTCAACAGATTTGTATAAAATAAGATATAAGGTTGATGTATTATATTACGAAAATATTATGTATCTGTAATAAAAAATGACCGCATATTAATTTAAAATCGCAAAGATCCTTTATACGATATTTGCGATTCATTGCAAAGTTAGAAGCACGAATTATGCAGAGAATACCTCGAAAAAATTGCATATAAATAGCATGATTATAATCATTTGTAATCCTATAATAAGATTTTTATTTTTATATTTATTAAGAATTATGTTATCTTTTTATAAAGAATTTTTTACGAGAGATCAGAATTTCGTTAATTGAAAATTAACTGTTTTTAATTAAAAATCAACGTTATCCAACTTGCATATATCTTCGTAGAAATACATTATAATCAAACGCCTGTGTAACGATAATATAAATGATCGATGATGAGATTTGTTTGTTAATGTTTTATTAAGAAGATTGAATTAAAAGAGATTGAATGTTTAGAAAAGAAGATTGAAATGCTTCCGTCGAAAAACGACGTCGAATCAGCCGCATCGAAGAAGAGCAACTCAAACGTGAAATGCAGCTTAAATATGAATGTTAATATTTCAAACAAAAAGAAAGATGACATTCTAGAAATAAAGCCTTGGAAGATCTTTAAATTATGTATATCGCTTTTCTTTCTCGTCGCCTTGATAATACTTTTATACATCAATGACAAAAAGTATGAAATGCAGGTAAGATAAAATCTATCAGTACAGAATGTACAAAGTATGTAATAATAAATTTTCTCTCTTCCTTCTGTCTTTTTGCTTCATCTAAATACTAATAAGATCAATATTCAAATACTAAGATACGCTAAATAGGTCAGGTTGCATATATGTTTTAACACTTATTAAGCATCGAGTTACCGAGATTTTTCAATTACACATATCGTGTCTACATGTTTTTACCAGAAACATGAAACTCCAAATAAGCGTGGATCACGCCACAATGATGGTTGTGCTTTGAACTTCGAGAGTTAATCATCAACTCCTTTTAACGTATGGAATGCACACATGTCCGTGTAGCACAAATATCACACGCAATTTCTCAGCAGGTTATTTAACATAAAATATTTAAGTAAGAAGAAATTGGCAATTATCTTTCCATTACAATTCCGGATATTGTTATCTCTTTGAAAACATATATAAACATATACTTTAATGAACTAATTGCGGTAATGATTACATTCGTCTTAAAATATTGTTTTTGCATTATTTAAATTAATTTATTGTTACTAGCTCTGCTACCCGGCTACAAAAAAGCACAATTATTCTTATTCTGATAAATTCTCCTATTATTACAAATTATTAATTCAACTTGCTCACCAGATATTCAGGTAGATTAAAATAAATACAACTTTTCTAATATTTTCCTATTTCAGAGGGACACGTTAAATAAAAACATCGTCCAGTTGGAACATCAATTTGATAAGTTGGATCGAAACATAAAACGCACTTATGATTTCATTAGCGCGATGAGGTCTTCTCTTATTCACAATATTTCAAAGGTCTACAGAAATTATGACAACAACAATAACAAGTTTAATATATATTCTAATAAGGCACTTTTGCCTGTTTGGAATCAATCGACAAATCACCAAAACGGTGTGATTGAAACAAATTCCAAAACTAATGTAAATAGTATCATGATGTCGTTAATGAGGTCTGAAAACAATTTAATCGTCGATTTTAACAAGACACTACATTTTCAAGACAACAAGAAAGCCTTACTGACTTCAAAAACACAAAATCTCAGGAAAACAAAAGATGAGAGAACCGATATTGATGATATGTTAATTTCTGAGAAAGTATCGCGGACTAAGCGATTACGAAGAGATAATGGAAGAGATAAAGGAAGCCAGCAGAACAAAAAGAGGGTTCACTTTCGCAAGCGAGGTATATTAACTTAGTTAAGTTTAAATGAGATCACTTTTAACTTAAACTAGTTATTTTAAAATGCGTCACCTTTAACCTTTTAATTGTTTTTTGTATAAGTTGAAATAATTTACCAATATTAAAATCATTGCTAGGAGGCTACTTAGGATGTGGAATTATTCTATTTTACAGATCCGCTGGTAGCTACGTTCATTGGCGCAATACCGAAACAACGTATTACCAACACAGGTACTCAAGTGTTAAATAAGTAATAACACAGACTGATTCTCTCAACACTTTCCGGATTCATTAAGATTATATAGCCAATTTCTATTATAATATCAATAAATAAATTTTATGATAACTTACACAGTATTCTTACATTGAAAAAATGGTTCTTAGCTCAAATTGGGCCATGGATGAAAAGCAATAGGACCGATATGCAATTTAGTTTCACTAAGTTTCGTTTGGTGGAGGACAATATGTCGATTGAAGTTGCCATTAGTGGTTTATTCATGATATCTGTACAGGTGGAAGTCTTTACCTACCCAGTACTTACCAGACTATAATTTGCAGTATTTCCTCTCTTATTATGGGACAAAACTATTTATTATAGATCTTCTACAATGGGGAATCAGAAGAATCTTCTTATTACGTATTGTTATATTCTGAGGGCACGTCTAATGCAAAACGACTCGTTACATGCGCCACTGTTACTTCTAATATTACTGGGGAAGTAACATGTTATACAAGTATAGTTACTTATCTACAAAAAGGCGACAGACTAAGTGTGCAACAAAAGGAAGAAGATAGGTAATTGTAAATGTATAAATTAAATGTTTGTTTCGAGTGTCCCGCGTTAAACAAGACGTAAAATCTAAACTCTGACAGTTTTAGATTGATTGATTTGAGAGAGGGACAAAGTCAGATACAACTTGTGATGCTTGCTGGGATCGGGCGGAAAACAACGAAGTCATAGTTCACTAGATCGTAGATGTAAATATATTCTCATTACGACAACAATAATGTTTATAACGTTGATGAGCCAATAATTGTGACTAAGATAATTAGAATTAGTGAAAAATGAAGCTCATATAGTAATTAGAGAGAGAGAGAGGGAGAGAGAGAGAGAGAGAGAGAGAGAGGGAGGGAAGGAAGGAAGGATTTTGGGAAAAAATGACTATATGATATATGAAACATTTTAGAATTGTAAATTGTAGAATTCATTGTAAATATGTGCAAACTAGACTTCGCAATTTGGCTCTTATATATCCGTTGTTTTACATAATTTTGATTTTAATTCTTATAATCGATTAACTGAAATTGTATATAAATTTTTTTTCTATATATGGCCATATAAATTCATATATGAAAAAATATATAATTATGTAAAAATATATATAACTGTTTATATAACATAATTATATATTATTTGTATATAATTTTATACAATTAAATTATATGTGTAATCATTTTTTCCCGATGTTTAGTTGTATGATTGTTAAAGTATTGATATCGTCATTGTGCTCAACATATAATTGTGCGTAACGTATAATGATTAAATAAATAAGTGAATAAGATAGAATAAATAAATAAGATAGAATAAGATAGCGCCAATTTGTAAAACATTAAGTGAAAATGTTCAAAAGATATAC